CTCCTGTTTTAATATTACTAATCCCTATAATAGCGTCAAAATGATTAGAAATTTCAAAGGAGATACCAACTTCTACAGTACTGGTGTAAATTATACAGTCGAGAGAACTCCAGGTAGCATTAATATTAGTGAAATCCTCTTGTCGTTACATTTCGTCCATTTGGCCAAAATAAACACGAGTTAAAATAGGTGAACCATCTGGTTTTTGCAATGCAGAAGCTTGGTTTGCTAAAGCCTGAGCTTTTTTACATGATGTTATTGCAAAAGCAACATGCTTACCTTCTCGAAGCATCTTAAGACCTCTTCTCATAGCCTCTGAACCTTTGTCTGAATCATAAAGAATCTTAACAGTTTCGTCTATATGTGATTGATATTTATTATTAAAAATTCGTATATCATTATCTCAATATTGTTTTAAAAAAGCTATAATAGAGTCATTTGCAAAAGCATCCATAGCAACAATATAAATAGCTAACTTTAATAAATCTCGCAAAGTATTTTCAGATTCTCGTGCATGAATTCCACTGGACATTTGACGCATAATCGCATTAACTTCATCTAAAATAACTACATATGAATGCTTTCTGTGAAGCTCAATACAATGTGTGCTTTCAACCTGAACGATAATAACATCCCAATCACTTATAGCTAAACTACCTTCAACTTCTTGATATTGGCATACGCAAAGTCCTAAACTCTGTAATATTTTAACTTTAGCTTTAGTATCATTACTAAGAGTTTTGCAATATAAAATCCAGCTAAAACAAGGTAAAACTTCTCTATCCTCAGCTAAAGATTTGAGAATTTCTCTTAAGGCTTTTGTTTTACCAGTACTTACAAGTGAACGAATAAAAGTCGTACTATATATAGAACTTAAGAAGTTTGGATAAGCTTCTGAAGCCTCTTCCATCTCTTTCACATTGATATTTTTTTCAGACAATTCAAGGAGTAAACGTGGATTTTTTACAACATTAATTAATCTATCATTCAATCCCCATTTAGGTCTTTCTTTTGGCTTGATTATATCTGATGCTTTTCCAAATACTAATCCCTTATGATCTGGTTTATATTGTTTTTGCCGGTAGCATTTAAGTATGAAGTACCCATTACTTCGAAGAAATCTATACAACTGATCTTTTTCGTGACTAATATTGCAAATGGTGCATGCTTTTAATGACCGGGCTTGAAAGTTGATAAAATCCTTTCTAATATTATCAATCTCAAGCCATTCATATTTTGCAATAACTAAGTTAGCTCCTTTACTTAAGACAGTTTTATCTTCGATATGCTGGAATTTCTCTTCCTTTTCCAGCTTCTCAGGAGAAAAGGTCTGTGGCCAGATTTTAGAACAATAAAATTTAGGTTGAACCAAATAATCCTCTAGCTTACGATATCCTTTCTTAATTGAAAAAATTGCGGGTCTTTTGATTCTATCTCCCTTTGCTGATCTAAGAAGTTGAAGACTAAAACGTGATTTGTAAAGCATGAGATTGATAAATTTAGAATATGGTTTTCCAACCCTATCTGCGATTTTTTCTACAAAACCTCTAAGATCTCTATAGTTAATAAAGTGGGTATCAGAACATACAATATGCCAACTGCATTTATCATCATTAGACGAACTAGCTAAAGCGAAAGCATTTAAAGTTATGAGATGTTTTAAATTAGAATATAAAATATCAGCACAGGCAATTAAGATTCTGGATAATAAATCATTATGAGAAATTTTATATCTATCTAAGGAAGAGAGTTCAGGATTCGTGGGATCAGGCTTCTGCCTCGCATCGATATCAAGAATTAGGCGCAAAGGCAGATTCCCATTAATGCACTCATGAGCATTGGGTAAGCTATAAACTTCAGATGGGTGATCAACAACTGTAAAGTCTTTATCTACCACTCGAATGATATATTTATCAAAAATCTCTTCAGGATGATAGACATCTAAAAGAGCGATAGCATCTTTACTATTAGACAAATATTGGAAATACACATGATCATTATAGCCTGACTCAAAATCAAGGTCTGTTATACCTGAAAAGAACCTTATTACTTCATTTATTTCTTCAAAATTAGGTTCGAAATTTTTTTGTACAAGAAGCATGATAGGTATGTGGAAAGTTAATATAAAATTATATAGAAAATACCAAATCTTCAAAATAAAAATTTTAAGCGAATATGCTTGTTAGTAAAATACTGGGTCAGTGGTAGTATCTAAAAGTAGTCAATATAGTAGTACCCAAAAGTAGTTAATATGGTAGTATCCAAAAGTAGTTGATGTGGTAGTATCCAAAAGTAGTCAATGTGGTAGTACCCAAAAGTAGTTAATGTGGTAGTACCTAAAAGTAGTCAATATGGTAGTATCCAAAAGTAGTCGATGTGGTAGTACTCAACATTAAGCCAAAAGAAAGTAATCAATATAATAATAACCTAAAGTAATCGAGGATACCCTAAAATAGCAACTATACAAAAAAGAATTCTAGAAAGGTTCAGACGAAAACTAGGATATAAATTTGGTAGTACCCAAAGGTAGAATTATATAGAAATAAAATAAGAAATTATGCTTTTGGGTACTACCGGCGATAGGCAGGAAAGAGGTCAGAAAGGTAAAAAGACACAGAAGAATACCCAAAGTAGCAACTATACGAAAAAGAAAACTAGGAAGGCTCGAGGAAAACTAGGGTATAAATTTGGTAGTACCCTAAGTTAGAATAATATATAGGAAAGAAAATAAGAAATTATAACTTGGGGTACTACCGGCGATAGGTAAGAAAAAGGACAGGAAGGCGAAAAGGCTCAGGAGAATACACAAAAAAAGGATATGAAAGTAATATAGCCTAAACTAATTCGGCACTTTGTGCCTCATCCTCGGCAATCAAACAGGCTATAAAAGGCAGGATTGCAAGAATAGCACAACACTAACACTTCGCATGTGCCTCATCGGCAATCAAAAAGTGGGTGAATGTAATAAAGAAGTGATAGCAAACTTAGTCAGCAAATTATAAAAGAAATACAACTTGATATACCCTAAAAAGTGTAGCCTTCTGCGTAATCTATTATATAAATATTGGCAGAAGGCTACACTTTTCTAGATATGTATTCGGGTATAGTATAAATGGGCCAGCCACAATAATACATATCGCATATCCAACTTCAAGATGCGAAATCAGCATAAATATACCGGTAACTAATGGGTAATAGTTGGGTTATAAAATGGCATCAGCTTCGATCTTTCAAATTGTATACCTTTCTCGGACATGGCGAAACAAGACATGCAGAAAGCGATATAATCCAAGGCTAGTTTTGAGAAAAAGAGCATGAAAGTAGTATAGCCAGATCTGATTAGGCATACACTGATTCCAGATCATCTAGAAGGATTTTTCACATATCATTCAAAATTTCTAAAGCGCTCTGATCGTTAATACTGTTAACAGAGTTCTCAATTCAGTATTCCAATTTGTGATCATTTATAAAATGAATGTATTTATTAAATATTTTACGAGGGTCACCAACCCAGCAACCAAGCTCAATACGTCTACAGTATACCCAATATTTTTAAAAATTTACGTACGCGTTACAAATTGTAACGCTGATCACTTTTGCCAAGAAATTTTTTTATTAATATATTTTAGCATTCTGGCGGGCAACAAAATAGGTAAAGAAGGAAAGCACCCTCGACATCTTAACAGGCATCCAAAAAAGCGCAGAAGCAGGCAAACAAATAGATAGCTCTTTATTGATAAAAAAGGTATAGAAGGATTTAAACAGAAAGATATTTCCTTAACGTTAAAAAGGCTACAGAATAATAAAATCAAGTAGATAGCAATAAAGCAATAAAAAGACCATAGAGCACTAAAGATGGTAACTAGGTAACAGTCTAACAGTAACTAGGTAACAATATAGCGGAACTGGATAACACTCTTATAAGAGTATTATCCAGTAAAGATTAATATGAAATTAAAATCTTATGTTTAGAATTGTAAATAAAAATATTGAAAGTTATATTTTTTTTATTGTATAAATTTTTATTTCTATAATTAAAAATTATCATGCATTTTTATTAGTTAATATATTTCACTTACAATTTTGATTTTAAAATTTTATTATTATTACATATTTATTATTTATAGCATATTAAAAAAATATAATATTTTATAATTTATAATTGTATTTTATATTATTATACTTAATGAATGAAATAAACATGCTAAAAAAAACTAATTCTTTTAATAAATTCATTGCAAAATTTTACCCTAGTTTGCAAAAAAACTAATTTTAAAAATCTTTAAAAATGTCAGAATAAATTGCAATTTACCAATAATTTTAAACTGCGATTTTCTTGAAATCACATGATTTGCCGAACCCCGACTTTTGCCCCGTATAAATGAACAATGTATAAGTTTATATTAATTTTGTAGAATTATATAATCATATAATTTTGTAATTTTAAATTATAAGCTTATAATATATGGGAGGTTTGCTATTAAAATATGTTTAAAAATTTTTTTTTTATGTTATATTTAAAGTAACATTTTTTAAGAGAATAATTGTAAAACATAATTTTAGTAATGGGTAGAAATAACATTTAATAAAAAATTTTAAATATATCTCTTAAATGTCATATCTAAATAACTCTTGAAATTGAAATATTTAAATAATTAAAATAAATAAGTCCCATACTAAATTAATCATTTTTCCAATGTATTTTATCGATAAAACGAGTGTCATCCATTTCAATGGACGATTCCAATATTTCCAATATTGTATCATAAAGACTGATTATCTGGCGCAGTGCTAGCATTGTTTATATAGACACGGTCTTTCAGGTCCGGATAATCCATTTCAAAAATTTCCTGATTCATTTAAATCAATATCTTTTTAAAAAGTAGTAAAATTTGAAAATTTTTTTTTTCTAATTTTTATTTTTTATTTTATTTATTTTTTTTTAATTTTCGGTTTCATATTATAAAAAAGTTTACAGTGGTCAAAGTAGTTATACGAACATGTTGTTAGACGGTTTCAGTCTAGAAATTTTGGTGAATAACCAACCGTTACCGGAAGTTACTGAAAAAGTTGACATACAAAAGGTAAATAATTGCTTCATAAGCGAAATTTGATAATTTTGAATTTACTTAACGACTTATACATTAATACTATTTTATACGAAATTTTGAAGAAATTAATTACAGGTCCTTCTTATACTTGCAATGAAATTTCTGAAATACAGCAAAAAAGGTTTGTAACACAACTGCATTAATTATGATAATTAAGTCACCGTTATTTTACTTCTCAATATTGTTAATTATATAATAATTACATTATTATATTATTTTAATGGTTTAGTTCAGTTACACACTTTGCAGCTGTTCACGAATTTGGAGAAAGATATTCTATACGATTTTCCGCGCCATCGTGGAGATGTACCCATGGTTCCCCAATAAAAGTATTTTTATATGTAGATGGGGAGTATGATTACTCTTACACTGATATCAATCCCACTAAACTTTCTGATACGCGAACATGCTTTTGGAGCAAAAATCGGGACAAGATTTATTTCTTCAAATTCGATCCTACCATTTGGAAAGGAGAGGCTGGCGACTCCGATCCTACTAAAACTTATTCATTCGGTGGGCCAGGTGCTGTATCTGTATACTTTTATCGTGCCAAGCGTATTCCATGGAATGTGAATCCGCCACCTGATTATGACGTTGAGCCAGCTGCTATTCCGGAGAGCAAGGACACAAGATCAATAAAGATTGCAACACAGTATGATGTTCAATCTGTACCAAATCCATCAATTACAAGATTTGATACTTATTTGCAAGAACAAGGAGCTCCTTTGGCAGTTTTACACTTACACTATCGTCCAGCTGCGTTTTTGGGTGCTCGTGGACATAACATTATTAACCCGCGTTCATGGAACCCACCTTCTTTACAGAATGGAAGAAATTATATATCAACACATAGTTATAACGATAATCAAGTGCTCGATGTTAAGATTAAAGAAGAACCAATTATTATCAAAGAGGAGCCGGAAGATAGGGGACCTACAACGGGAAAAAGAAGAAACCGCGGTCCCGTGGAAATAATCGTTTTGAGTAGTGACAGTGATGATGATGATTCACATAAGGTTAAAAAATTATGTCCTTAGAAATCTTGATGATTTAGAAATGATTTATGCGTTATATCTTTTTATTATAAAGTATAAAGTATATTGTAAATTGTATTTCTGGCTAAAGCAATAATAAATTGTTTTATTTGTAAAAATGAATATAAAGTCTTCAATTTCTGATAAATTAGAAAAAAATATGTATTCTCTACAATTACATAATTAAGAAATTCATAGTTCCTGCATATTCTAATATTTATTAAAGATTATTTTTTTTTTTTTTAAAAAAAAAAAAAAAAAAGTACCATTTTTATCTATTTATTTTGCAAGTGGCCCAAATCCATCTGATATATTTAATATGTATAAATTTGTTAATTATTTTTGCGTATTTCAAATTGATACGCAATTTTTTACCAGAACATTCGCGAAATTTATGACGTCATGAAATTTAATCGAAAGAAAATCTTGATATCTCGGAGAATTTTCGAATTTTTAAACATTTAAAAAAAAATTTTGTGAATATTTTTTTTTCACTTTCCACTTAATTATCAGATAATTTAGTCGATATATTTTTGTTAAAAGCTTTATAATTATGTCTTCTGAGTAAGTAAAAAAAATATTTTTTTTTTTATTCTTTTCGTTACACGTAAATATGTATTATTTAACATGATTTCGTTTTACCTTTCATTATTTTTTTACTATTGTATTCGGGTTTGAATATTATTAGTAAAGTTCTTCACCCTGAAGTACTCTGGGCACAACGCGCCAACGAAATTTATTTGACAATAAATGTAACTGACTGTAAAGAGCCAAAGATCAATGTGACTAAAGATAAGATTTCTTTTGCAGGCAAAGCCGGTCCAGAGCAAAACTTGTATGGATTTGAATTGGAGTTTTATAAAGAGGTTAAGCCTGAGGTAAATAATTTTATAATTTAAAAAAATATATTATTTCTGTAAAAATAAGAAAATTAGATAAGAATTAATTTATATGAATTAATGAGTATAGTTCATTTAACATATAAATAGATTTATAAGATTAATGGTCTTTTTATTATACTTAAATATTAAAATGGTTATTCTTGTCATATTAAATATGATATCAAAAAACCCCGACTTATTATTTACACCTTTTTTTTCTATCAATTAGACTTCAAAACGTTCAACGACTGCACGCAACATCTTTTTAGTTCTTGACAAAGCCGTACCAGATCAAAGTTATTGGCCACGTTTACAAAAAAATAAAAGTAAAATCTCATTTCTCAAGACTGATTTTTCCAAATGGAAAGACGAAGATGATGTAGACGAAGAAGAGGGAGGTGGTTCAGATCCTTTAGGAGGAATGGATTTTTCTAGTCTAATGGGTGGAGAAGGCGCAGATCCTGGAATTGGGGTAAGTTATAAGCTAAAAATTTTTTCATGGGTAATATATCGTCATGATAATCGAATTTGTTTACCTTTATTCATTCAGGACGACTCGGACGATGATGTTCCTGATTTGGAAACTGTTAATGATTCTACTAGTATTAATAATGAGACAAAAACTAACGAACAAGAAATCACAAAACCTAGTGAAGAGGTATCAGAATCGAAAAAGGAGTGAATAAAATAATTATATTTCGCAAGAGAGCGATTTATTGTACAAAGAAAGCCTGTAATGGATTAATTTAGTTAAAGGTATTTATGAATAAATAAATTAGATTTGAAATTTATTTTTTTATTATCTATTTTATTTGATAATTGCATTATTTTGGATTATAGGTAGAAAGAGCCTTTTGTTTATACATTTTTATTTTATTTTATTGGCTTCGCTTTTGATAACTATCTTTTGTTCATAAGAAATATTTTCAGATTTGTAAAGACAATAAATATTAAGATTACTTGCATTTTAATATCATAGTTGCAAACTTATTAATTTCAAAAAAATAAAAGTTTATCTACCTTTCTAAATAAATTCTATGTTTACTAAGTTTTTAACAAATTTAAATCCTTTAACATTAATCCTAAAAAAGATAAAATATATTAATATTATTGTAAAAGTTTATTACATTAATAAGAATTTCAACTTTATATAATTGATTATACTTACCGTAGGCGCTGACTAAAAATACCCTCCTAAGGTTTTGGGCAGAAATTTTATAAAAGACCCGGGTGGTTTACATAGGTGGAACTATATAAATCATGTGATTAATATATTTTACGGATCTTCCCCAGCATCACCAACAAAAAATCACTTTCACGTGATCATATAAAAAATATTTGTCGTCCCGCGTCAAACCCTTCACTTTTCAGTTTTTACTAAGTGTAAAATCATATTCGTCACATTACTATTCGTCACATACATAATGCCTTAACTCACGGTTAATGCCATAACTCTGGCCAAATAGTCACGTGAAAGTGATTTTTTGTTGGTGATTCTGGGGTAGTTATATTATGGTCAGACCTCTATACAGTCACTTCCTATACAATCACACTTCCTTATAAATTTTTTCTACACAATCACAAATCAGCTACAATCACTAAATTTTT